TCACTCGCGAATAAGTCTATGAGCGAGTTCACCGACCCGTGGAAGCTTCTCCAGCTTGCACCTTTATTATTGTGGTCATTTTCTACTACATCTGCTGTACGGCAATTATGATCGGGCTATTTTATATATTTATCGAACCATCTCTCGAGCAAGCTGACATGACTGAATGTGAATATATGGACCACGTAACCAATAAGTAGAAAGACGATGAAGTAGCCGTAAAGGGTTTCGAAATGAATTAGGAGCTGTATCAGAGACAATTAGACAAACAGAGGTTGAAAAACGGAGCAAAATGAGTGACGTGACAAAGAAAACATATACAATTGCAAATGAACTTAACGTGCAAACTGTTCAAGTAAGATAGAGTTAAGTTTACCTTGATAAGATTTCTGTAAAAGTACTGGGACAAAGACTAATACACAAGGACATGTGCTTTATCCCAGTACTCTTGCGTGAATATTGTCAAGGGAAATTTGTTACATTTAGGCCGACTCGCAGTGTTCATTCAGAGGGACCAAGCTGTTGAATATAGATTAACGAACGGAGAACGGCAATCTGCAATTCGCGCGTGGAATAAAAATTCGTCAGAATCCACGTACCGCGAAAATAAACGTTAAGCGAAGCGTGTGTAAGGAAAAACACTGTCTTGTAACTTTATTCTTTAGCGTTACGCAGTAACGCTGAAGAATAAAGTATCTTCAGCGTTACGCAGTAACGCTGAAGATACGCGAAAATTTCAGGAGCACAGACACATGTTGAACAGTTGAACATGTTCTATAGAGCCAGTTGTTTATAGTTACGCAACGATGCCAACAGGATCATAGCCATCGCCAACACCAGAAGTGGTAAGTTCATTGTCGCGCTTAGCGCCTGTGCCTTCGAGAATGGCAGCCTTGCTGGGGCTATGTAGACAAACGTTAACGCATGGTGCTTAAGCATACAGTTGACGTGAAACCAATGTGACACCTGTACCGTGGTGCATATTTCATGTTTTCAATAAAAATACCTAGCACTGCGACCAGTGTTGACGTTTCACCGATTGTATACGCCTGCGTAGGCGCTTTTTTCAAACCAGTTTCGAAACCTGGAGTGACTATGCGGATACTTTATTGCCACGCGAAACTCTTGGCTTCTATTTCTGATGTAACCCTGAGATTTATTCTTTAAATTCATAAAGTCAACGTTGCCTATGTAAGTTTTTCGTATGCTTTCGCTTTTAAGTTATCAGAGCACGTTCTCACCGTTCGTGGGTAGATAAGATGCCTATCCCCTGTGGCACATATACCACGGCCCGGGGTATACCGTAATATACCTCACGTGTGTGGTGGAGAGTGATGACGTGTGCGACGATGTTTTCACGCTGTTCACGTGATGTTCAGGCAGTCGTTTATCTTCTCCGTCTCTACTAATTTTCGTCTTCCCCAAGTTAAAGAGCTGATTGGGAGCACCCAGACATAGGCGGTGCGATAAATAGATAGATAGATAGATAGATAGATATAGATAAAAAGTTGGTATTGGCATTACCGTTATAAATCCCCATTCATATGACTATATAGCCCTAAACAGAGATCTTAGCACTGGTAGACTGACAAGTGACAATGACCGTTCTGCGGAAAAAAGTGCAATTTTTTATAACTGCACATTTGGGTAACGTTGTACGAGACAGACCACTAAAGCACAATGAACTTCCATTGTTTTGTCTTCCGTGTCTCGCCATTTACTCCTCGCCACTGTGGACTGTCCAATCAGGCAAAGTCCTGGTTAACCTCCCTGCAACTCACCTATTGTTTTCCTTTAGTGTACTATGTTTGAGCGATATTCCTTGATTTATACATCGCGATTGTGCTGATAGGGGCGTAGTTATTTCCATATAATCGCTCAAAGTTCATACAAGCCAGCATTATACAGAACTGAACATCATGTAATAAAGGCAACTCAAAAACAGGCATGATAACCAAGCTGCCTCCTTTTCTTTGTATCAAAATGAAAATGTGCGAACCATGTTATCACGCTCAACTTCTGGAAAGAACTGAAGATCCTGTAACATAATCGTAAAACTGCAAAAGATACGTGTGCGTATATGTAACCAATTAATCGATAGAACACAGCATAATAAACAATCGTCTTGATGGACACCCCAGAACAGCCCATAATTGAATGAAACACATGAAAAGCTTCATTAATGCCAAGAATACCAATGTTTTCAATCAAATTAAAAATAATAATAATATAAAGCGCACTTTTTCAGCATTACCAGTTATTCACGTTACCAGTTACCAGTTATCCACGTTACCAGTTATCTCTTTATCTGGTTGGTATGCAGTCTGATTTCATTCAATTCGACTTATCTTTGCGCCCTGGTTTGTGGTCATGGGGTGTGAGTTCTTAGTTAACCGGAATTAATTAACGTGAACATGCACGGTGCTGGTCTTTTGTTGTATTCAGTTGTTTTTTAGTTTATTTATGATATACATTGTCTGTACACGGGTATAATAACGGTCGGCTAGCAATAAATTAGCGAGAGTGAGCTCTCTAGCTACTTATACCGACAGCTTTTTATCGTGTTTTTTTTTCGAGTCTTTTAAAACTATGGTCTGTGTGCTCTCATGGGCCGACAAACTCGGCCCTCCGCTATGAAAATTGTGGCCCCCAAAAAACAGAACATCTGCGAAGCGCCGAAGCGCAATTTTTTCTTGTGCGTTGAACAACCCGGTCACTGCACACGCCCCTTTTCTTTCTTTCTTTCTTTCTTTCTTTCTTTCTTTCTTTCTTTCTTTCTTTCTTTCTTTCTTTCTTTCTTTCTTTCTTTCTTTCTTTCTTTCTTTCTTTCTTCTTCTTTCTTTCTTTCTTTCTTTCGATCTTTATTTATTTATTTATTCATTCATTTATTTCGCCAGTTTTTCAAGCATTTATGCGTTCTGTCCCAATTCTCACGCATGTCCAGAGAAATTTGGCGTTATTATTCACGCTCACGTGAACACGCCATTAGCTATATGAATATATAAGAAGGGGTGTTTGGGAAGCACCGAGAGCCCACTTGTTGGGAGAAGAAGAAGCTGCTGCGGCCCCTAAGGACTTCACGAACGCCTGCTATGAGTGGAGGAATTACCCTAACTAAATGCCTCACAGAGTGAAATTCGGATACACGAAAAATACGAGTGTCTGAAGAAGCTGGTCTCTTTATCCACGCGAATAAAGGTTAGTCTTTCAATAACTGACTCAAAGAGTGATTAGTAGGCAATATTTGATATCTGCATTTCAAGCTCATCACCGAGTACCATTTTCAAGGATGAAATTGATGTATCGAGCTCTATAATTTTCAAGTATTTGGCTGGTTCTGTTGAAGCATCATATACAAAAAGGTTCAGACCTAAGATATCTTAGCTTTATAACTTTAGTACAGTGAGAAAATTGCGAAAAATAACACTGTTGGATACACTGATTTACCCCTAATGAAGGGTCTGTACAAAATGGCTGAAAGAACAGGTGCCAAAATAGGAAAGTAGGTTAACTGGGTGTCAAAAGTAATTCATCGTTGAAGGTGTGATTGGAATTTGCCAAGTTCTACGTAAACAAAACGCAATTCGCGCGCAGCACACCTAAAGTTTAGAAGACTGAACGAAAAAAAAACAATGAGACAGGTTGAAGCTGTTCTAGCAGCACGCAAGGAAAATTACCGAATATTGTATATCACCGCCTCAAAGTGAGTACACTTTTTTTGGTATCCAATGCTGCCACGGCAACTTTCCAGGTGTGTACTAGTACCAACAAATACGACAGCTAGGCTAGTATTGAATCACATACTCGTGCCAGGTAATAAGTGCTACCTGTACTCGGCTGTTCGTACCTGACAGTTCCTTGCGGCCTGAGTTGGTGTCTTCAGCCAACGAGAGCTGCGTGCAGTCTCGGGCACTACGAGACTGCCAGTGAAGAACTAGAGAAGAGACCCAGTGTTCTCAATTGAACAACAATGAGATGTTTCTGGTATAAGATGAACGAGAACAGTGATACCTACGGGCAAAAAAACTTGCTAATAAAACTACTGACTCCTTATTTGATTGTTGCTTGGAGCTACGAACACCACAGTGTTTTGTTTTTCAAGCAGCAAATCTTTTTAGGGGCATTCTAGGACTATTGACTGCATAAGAAATGTGTTAGTGTTTACTTGAGTTATGCGTGACCAAGATATTTAGTCATTCGTACTTGCCAGTTATCCTGGGCATGCAGCAAAGCGCCTTGAATATCTTATGCACTGACGAGTGATGAAGGAGAGGGTTCGATTAACTTCTGAACCGGCAGCGGTTGATACTTCATTCTTCGCAAAGCACTGAAGTGACATACTGCCTTTCTGATCTCAATCAAGAATTGAGGCACAAAGAAATACTTGACGTTCTTTGCTCCAAAGGACGTCACACGCCGAGCGTCAATGGTTGTGTAAGTGGGTGAAAGAACTTTCTGCCTTTTTTTAAGCTTGAAAAAGCATGGCTGTTCAAATATTTAGAAAGCATAAGTGGAGTATATAATAACACATACACAGATACGCCACAGCCACAGGACAGCCACAGCCACAGGAATTCAAATGAATGATCAATGAACGATTACAGCACTACCTAAGTGATTTGCACAAGAACATCTCATTTAAAATTCTCAGATGACACCAACGCTATTCATTGAGACAATTCGCTGGAAAAGCGGTGAAAGGTGGACTATTTAGTGCATAAGTTAAAACTTTAATAAAGAAAAAAACAGCGCAAAGACAGGATGATGGAAGATGACACGAAGACGGGTGCCGCTGACAACTGAAATTCTATATCTACGAAACCAAGAATATATAGATACGCGAAAGAATGCAAATTGATTAGAGTCACGTGTACCAAGTGAAACAGCTGACTTCATTTTCAAGCATATGAAGCGACGGAACATCGATCACCCATTCGGCGGAAAGTACTCGTGTAACCTTCCTTCGTCCTGTATTGCCCTCCTATTTGAAGACATCTCACCTTGTGGGAATCTTGCGGCGGGACAGGTGCGAGACACTGGCCGTAGCCGCCGTCTCGGGAGAAATAGGGAGCTGCTGTGGTGGTGATCACGGGGACGTCCGTGGCGGTGCCTGTGTCGTTAGCGGGCGGCGCGTCCATGGGCTCAGCCGCAGCTGCAGAGATGGTGGTGGCAGATGTTGGCTGGATGGCGAACACGGGCCCAAGATCATGCGCACTCGCCGTCTGGTTCACCATGGCGACCAGCGCGACGCTCAGGGAGAAGCGCAGAGCGTAGGCAAGCAGCAGACCACTGAACAGAAAGGCCGTGAGAACCCAGCGGCAGGGCACTGCAGGAAGACGGTGAAAGCATGTAGGGACAATGCGGCAGATTGCGAGCATGAGAAATAGCATATCTATCATTCAAATCTGGGAAGACATTCTCAGGATATCTTTTATGGACCTGTTTACGCGTGCATTAAGTGAATTACAGTTGCAATGTTTACTTCTCGGTATAGAATTTTTTATTTTATTGTTGTGCAGATGAATGAGGACCCAAGAAGGGCACAGAAAGCGTCGTGTGCGCTTATTTTTGTCCTTATTAATTTCCACAATAATAAGTCGACTTTGGAAGCATAGCAGCCAGTTACATGAAAACATTTTTTAGACAAGTGGCAGGCCCATTACTAAATGCTTCAGAAGTACTTGTGTACATACCAGCCCTTCCCAGGCTGGCTGACCCACAATTATTGCAGGTACCAACAATAGCAGACAGTAGAGCCAAGTTTTCCTCGAGTACATTCTGTAGAAAGCTCTACTACTTCGCTTGCGTTCCCTCAAAGATCTGCCCTGAGCTTGTATATTATTAGTAAAACTCTGAGGAAAGGCCCTGGAAGCCTGACCTAGCAGGAGAGTGGCCCCGATAGTCAACAAGTCCTCGTGAAGTTCTTGAAGGCAACGCATTTGAAAGCCCACCTGGTATATGCTGCAGTGGCTGCGTGAGTTGCGAAACGTGTACACTGGTGGTTTTCTGTCTCTCTCTTGCTCCCTCATTTTCTTTCCCATAGCGTAGCAAACTGGACGTAGAATAGTTAACTTCCATACTTTTTTGTGTTCCTTCCTTCTCGTCTGCGATGTAACGAAACCTAATTTAGCGATGGTCCTAATCTAATGAAGAATTATCCAGCAGATTCTCATGGGTTTCAATGTTGTCTACCATCTGAACTAGTAAGGCTCCCTTGGCCACCCCACCCAATTTAACCATATTTTCTCTGATATATATGCTTGAGAAAACTGACGACTTCGGTATAATTTCGACACAGTCTGGTTGCTCTTCGAGCACATGGTCTAACGTTGTCACGTTGAAACATGAGACGCCCTTGCCAAAGTTCTATAGCTTCATTTTGACGAATGTATGTGAGGACGGCCTTAGCAGCCGTGATTATTTTGAGGTAGCATATGTCGTTAGGGCCAGCCGCTGTTGGTGCCACTATTTCATGCTATATGCGTAGGACTGTGTGTTTTCGGAGTTTACCTTTCTTGAAATTTTGAGGCTGCTTTTCTGAGTTATTCGTTTTAGAGGAAGTCGGCATTTATGGAGTGTACTTCTCGTACATCTGGAATTCTCTGAAATTCAGTGTTTAAATATGCATGATAACTTGTTGCAATATCATAATAAATTTATTTCTAATAAAATGTATTTCGCTATCGCTAATAAGCCTCTCTTCTATCTCTTTTACTTCTCACTTTTTGTTCATTTGCCTCCTTGCTCTCATCTTTTTACTCACCTTTCCCATTTCCCTTGCGTAGGGTACACAACCGGGCAAGTGCCTGGTTAATCTCCCTTTTGTTTCTCTTGTTGCTCTTCCTTCCCCTCTTTCTTTTATCCTTGTTAATAAAGCTGTCGATGTGCGTTGCCCTAAACTAACCAAAGTGGGCCTTTTGAGAAAGCACCAGCCAGTCAAGCTGCTTCTCAGCTTTTTGTCAACGCCTCCCTCATGTTCTTGATAAAAGTAGAGGCAGTGTAATTGCTGTCATCCCCAGTACGCCGAAATCTTATACAGAATGATGTCTGAACACGAAAACATATGGACGCACGGAGTGTATATACTTAAGATGTCTGGAAGGTTTTAACGTGCAAACACATATACATATACAACACCCGACGTGGTGGTCTAGTGGCTAAAATACTTGGCTGTTGACCCGCAGGTTTTGGGATTGATTCACCGCTGGGGTGGGTGCATTTTCGATGGAGGCGAAAGTGTTGCAGGCCCAGTTGCTAAGATTTGGTTGCACGTTAAAGAATCCCAGGTGGTCGAAATTTCCGGAGCCGTTTTCTATGGAGTCACTCATAATCATATGATGTTTTTGGGAAGTTAAAACCACACATACCAATCAATCAATCAATCAATCAATTAGTTAGTCAGTCAACCTGTCAATCAATTAACATATACATAAAAGCACAAATAGTTGCATACAAAGTGCCTATGTTCGTTCGTATTGCAACCGTAAACATGATCGAAGAATACTGCGTGGTAGAAAATAAGGGCGGGAAAAGCAACAAAAAGCACAGACAATCAATTGAAGGTTTATTAATCGTGAACGGCATTTACATATGACAAACAAGAAAGAGAAGAAAGGGAGACAAGTTAGCCTTTCAACAAAGGACAACTTTGATACACCCGAAGCACGAGGCGGAATATCAGATTCCTTACATGCATGCGCCTTATGCAAGATTAATTTGCCATTTTCAAGTCAATGTGCCATTCCGTGTCATTGTTACAGAGAAGGGCTTTTGGCAAAAAACCCTAAGGTTGTTTTTTGCAAAAAAAAGTTGACACTTCCCGCATTTAATAATCCCTTTCTAGTCAGGAGTTCATGCCAGGTCAAGAAGTGTTTCTAATACCCTTACCAAAATTTGAGTGCATTTTTCATAGACATCAAAGATTGGTATCCCCTTCCTCGTAACGCTTCGTATTCGTGTTTAAAATGATGTGTTCATATGCTGGGTGACATAATGTTCCAAAATGCAACTAGTGTCAGTGCCAGCAGTTACCTTGATCTTCTTGTTAAGTATCCGACCTGTACCTATGTAGAGTGGAATGATGATGCCTATGAGAATAGTGGTGTGTCCAAAGGATCAAAGGATCTTCATTTTCGCCGATTCTGAGCGATCTGTCGCTACGTAAGTTCCACAGGGACTTCAAAGAAGGGCTTCACTGGGAACATGTCGTGAGGCTTCAGGCTCTTCGAAGACTACCTGGTAGTTTTCAAGTGCGACTCGGCCAGCATAACTAAAATTTTATCTGTACTTGTAGTCAGTGATCGAGTACACTCGTCCTGATACACGAACTGCCAGCGAATGGTTCTATTCGCTTCTTAGGCATAAAACTCATGTTAAGCTCAAACCACGCATGCTGAATGTACGAACCTAGAGCTACAAAAGCACTTTTGCCTTTTAAACTGGCACACAGTAAGCTGGTCAAAAGAGATATAGTGAACTCTTGTTTCCCCAACGCCCTATACAAATCCCGCTTTCATATGATGAACACAAGCTTCCAGAATCAAGTGGATTGTCTAAAAGAAGCTGGTTATGCAGATTTGCTTCTCATTTCTGTGGCATAAAACATAAAAAAGAAAAAGCCCAGTCGTGGACGTAGTTCTTATCGCAGGGACAAGGGCAAACGCGACAAAGTTTCAATGATGCCTTACATGCACCAGTTATCACACTGTATGAAAAATGTCAGCCAACAAACAGGCGTGCAGTTTTTTTTTTGCACCTACCAAAAATTTCCAGCTTGCCAAACTGACATGTCCAAGCTTTAGGCGTAAACACTTCCTTCATTGTCAAGCCCGAATTCCAGTTTGTCTGATGTGACATGAATGTAGTACACAGAGTTCCGCTATCTTGTGGTGCGTAACATATCGGGCAGGCAGGGAGCTGCCTCAATGAGTGCCTGCGTCAACACGAACGTAATGTTTGTAATGACAATGAAGGCTTCTTGGCTCAGCATGCCAGGAAGCGTGGCTGCAATGCGCAGTATGAAAATACAGCTCTATTGCATAAGCACAAAGATGATCACACACGCATGATTATTGAAGCAGAGAAAATGGCGTAAGAACCTGGTAACTACGTGAGCAATACATCGGCTGCCCTCCTACAGATGAAACACTTCAGTATCTGGCAAACGGCGCATGTGTATAATGAATCTGATATTGTGCTTTGTGTTTAGGGTGTAAGACTTTCGTCGTTTGTTTAAATGCTAAGATTTGTTTCTTTCTTCTTTTTCCTGTTTGTCATATATAATGCAGTACGAGATGAATAAATCTTGAGTTGATAGTCAGTGCTTGTCCTTGTCTTTTCCCGTCCGTGTTTTATACCACGCAGTATACTTCGCTGACATAATAACAACTGACCTATTCATCCCCCTGGGCAACCTTAAAGCTCGTTGTAATCTGCGCAAGCATATTTTGTGACTTTGTGCCACTGATAGAGGTATGGTTCTTTCAATTCATGATTGTCAGTTTTAAAAGTGCCCTTTGAATCTATAAAATACCCTTTTAAAATTGAAGCTTATCGAATAAATCGAAATTGTCAAACTTTTTCGCCCACTGTTAGAGTTCTTCGATGTTATCCAAAAACACGGAGCACTATTTATGTGATACGTGGTTGTGATCGTGAGGTCACAAGTTTCTTGTTAGGGCTTCTCACACAATCACGGCATTCATTTACGGTGTTTTTGCGTATCGGCAGCCTGTTCGTTTCATGGGAACGCCCACCTGGGCTGCATTGACTTCTCATGTCCAGGTCACTCCAGTGGCAGCATTACACGTCCAGGTTTGAACTCCACTGTAGATTTGGCACGCCTATACATAGAATATTTGATTTCGTAGGACCGAAAAATTCTGTTCTCGATTTCAGAAACTTCCTGATGTAACACAATAGTTACAAATTGGTCATCTTTTTGCTAAATTGAGGTTGAACTGTATTACAAAAATGCATTGGAAAATGGAACGATCACCTGAAAATAATATTTTACGTATTCACCATATAACTATCAGCGTATTTATTTCATGATCATTGCGATAAGCTGAGGTCAAATAAATTACTCTTCAGATCAGATCAAATGCGAATTGCATAAGCACAGCCACGGGATATGACCGGAGTCTTACGTGAAAACAATAAAGTATGGCGATTCGCAGTGGAATATTCCTCTCTAATTCATCGCTAAGAAGGGCGACATGCTGGTTCCCCACGAAACGTCGTGATTGCGTGGCAGCTTGGGTTAGTTGGTATTGGATTGGATTGGATAAACTTTTATTTGGTCCTCCAAAACACAGATCACTGTGT